TGAGACTGCAACAGGTTAAAATGAACTTTGATTGATTGATTGCCCTATGCGGGATTTTACGCCAACCTCGCGCCCTGCTACATGGCTTGATTTTGGACTATTACCACGTTTGCGGAGATGTTTAAACACTCAATACTTTTTTATCTAACCCACCAATTCACGGTTTTAACATTTAAAAATCCTCAACATCCCTCCAAGCCAACGATGGGCGAACTCAATTTTCGCGTCGCGCCCGAAGAGGACGCCTCCCAACTTCAGCGGTTGGTGGAAGCGGCGTTCCGCACCGAGGACAGCAGAAAAGGCTGGACAGATGATCTAGGTCTCTCGTTGAGCTTCCACCCTCGGGGTCCAAGAGATTCTGGTCATGATCACCAAATTAGACAGCGTCATCCTGATGGCAATCAACGGTGACAACACGCTCGTCGGGTCAATCGGGACTTCCAAGCGACTGTCAACGGACTTGGAGTGTCAAGACGCTGGGATAAGACGCCATTTCAAACTGCCAGCAACTTATCCCATGGTATTTGCGTTGTGGATACACAGCGAAGGGCGAGAAGACCCCTTTTCCTTGCGAATAGTTTAAGAACCTGGGGTTGCCGGGCGATCTTTGTTTTGTGGAAATTGAGAAAATTCTGTGAATAGCACCCGATGAGCAAGCTATGTGAAACGGTCATATGCACAAGGAATATTGCTTTCTGCATTGCGACATGGAGAGACTACGAGAGATCCGGCCGGATATTTCTATTTTCAACAAGCGTATTTTCTGAGCCTCGGTAGTAGGGAAGCTCGGTACATGGAGAATAGGTGGGATCGAGTAGCTCAGACGTGAGGGAGATATTTTGAGCGAGCATGGGAGATCACTGCCCAGATGAACTTCGCTACCCAAGACTATCTCGAGCTTAACTTTTACACGATTGAGACAAGGAGCGCCACAGCTAAACCAAATCTTTGAGCTTGACATGTTTCACGGTTAATTGAGGTTGCTGCAGATTTTCAATCGGCTACTTGGTTGCCTTCTCTAAATCCGCAGCCCAGAGAGCCGCACCAACAGTGTTCGTAAATGAAAACGCGATCGAGGCAAACGGTATCATTTCCAACAAAAAGGCTGCTATTCCAAGTCTAAGGTAACGGTCAGCATTTGACTGAACAGCAGCCGGGAAGAAAATAGACTGAGATGGAGTTTACGCACCCAGTGTACGCGCCCTGGTTTTTCTTCACCCACTCCTCTCGCATCGTAGAGTCCCAGCCCTTGAGCTGGAAATATCTGGCGTGAAGTACTGGTCCTGCTCTTTTCCCCTGCATACAGATATACAAAACAGTCCCGACCACAGGAATGAGGTTCAGAGGTAGGTAGAGCAAAGATCGCAGTAGAGCCCTTGGGTTCAACCGCGCGAGAGGCCGAGTAAAAACCTTACCCAGTCTGGCCATAGCATCTTTTCCTCCCGATCGTGATTTCAACTGGCGTCCTTGTGCTACGAGTGTCTCCTGGTCACGCGCCACTAGGGTGCCATCAAAGGTGTCGATCAGGGCATCTTCGACGAGGAACGAGCGTGAGAGGACGTTTGTGATGGTGGAACTCTCACCAAGGACCAGGATCGCTGCAGAAATAGCAGCCAACGGGCCACTAGTGAAGGCCATGATGGCCATCTGCGGCAAGTACGTGAAGAAGAACATCACGGATGTGACGCCGACTCCCAGTGTGATCGTTCGGCCCGCGCGAGATAGAAAAGGACGCCAAAGGTCCTTGTGGGTTGCGAAGTAGACAATACCCTGAGAATCTCCATAAATTTGCAGTTAGAGACGGTCAAAAATCATTCATTTTGAGGGGCACAGCTTCTTACCTTCAATGGATACAAGTATGCGCCAGACGTCATGACATCATGAGCAATTGCTTGAGTGTTTTTGGCCTCGGCAAGCACTGCTTCTTTGATTTTCTCGGACATGTTTTAGCCTACAGTTTTAGTAGCTTAGAGTGGGCAAGAATGACTTTTGGAAATCGTGACAAGACGAAGATTAAACCTAGAGGCTGAGGAGCTGCGTAATTGACGCCGAAAATGACTGCTTTATAGGCCAGAAACGGCCCCCCGACACCACCACTATTCTGCACCCCCGGGCCGCCTAGCACTGTTAGTCATCCTCCGGTTCTGACGTCAGACAACTCTAGGCTCAACTGCAGGAAAGGGGGTTTTTTTTCTCATCTTGATATACCTATCCAATCAAAGTATCTCAAGGGCCAAACTTGTATAAAGCGACGCTTTTGTTTCCTTTGCCGTTTTTCCTAGCATTGCCAACTTGCTAGGTACTTTCACGGGTAAATTGAAAAGGATCTCATGTAGTAAATCTTCTAATCAACCGGGACCCTTTATAAGGTGTCGCATTTACACACTGATGACATTTTCCGGTTGGCGTCCATTTTGAAAAAGGCTTGAAGAGCGATTCTACGCACTTTTTCACATTATCAATAGTGATTTTCTGGTCTTTGAATCACGAGATCGTTTAGGATCGGTAATCGAACGCTAGGAACGGCACAGCAATTTGACCGATCGGCCGTTGAACTGTGGGGGGGGGGGGTTACCCGATGGAGCCGCAAATTAAACATTTGCACCACGGGATGCCGGTACGTCTTGTTGCAGTGCAAATAATTGTAGAACAGGGGTCTCTTCAAGTAGTCAGGAAATTTTCTCTTGTTAATAGCTACAAGTAGATTTCGTAGCTCCTAGTGTATGTGCTTACATCAACAAATGCAATGAGAACACTCTTGCCAAGAAGTAATCTGGACAGGAACGTGGGTGGGATTAACCGAAGGGGGTCCATCCTCCAGCCACCATATCCACTACCCTCTTAGTCGCTTCATCCAAGTCCTCTTTAGGTAGCCCTAGTACATCATTTGCCAACTCCATTGTCCCTGCGAAATCGCCATCCTTGTTGGTTGCTAAAAACACATGCCCATAAAGCATTTTGGGAATCCCCGTGAAGACGCCCTTGGCCAAATCTTCAGCGCCGTCTGCAAGGCGCTTAGCGACAGTCTCATGACTAATCTCCCAATCAGAGTCTGTGGTGCCCAAAATACGATGCAGACTATCAAGCATGTCGCGTTGTGAGACGCGGAAGCTATTGATGCGGACTTCTTTGTTCTTGAAGTCGGCAAGCGCGGGGGTCGTTCCCGACTCCGGTAGGCTGAGGAGAGCAGCCAGCGCACGACCACACTGGTCCCAAGTGCTAACGCTCACGATGCGAGTGCCATCATCGAAAAAGGTTACCCTTCGGTCTTTGATTGTGAAGCCGAACCATTGCTCGCCGCATGCCAGGCTCCATTCGTACCAGAAACCACATGGCAGTGTTACCGAGAACGATCCGCCATTTTGAGCATCATCAATTCGACTAAGGACGCGCTTTCCGTATGAATCCCCATCCTTCACGCCCTCCGGGCTAATGGGGTATCCATACGCATTTGGCATGATGTAAGGGACCCCAGCCTTTGCGGCAGCTGCGGTAATCCTTGCATGGAGATCTTCGGGGGCCTGAACGCTCAGGGTAATCACAAGGAATTGTTGTCCTTTCAAGGCCTTGACTAGTGAGTCGTCATCATCGTAATTAACCTTCACGGCTCGAACCCCCTCTGCGACTTTTCCATGGCTATCTTCGCGGGTGAGAGCTGTGACTTCATGCTGGCCGGTTTGCAGAAGGGACTGAGCAAAGGCTCTACCGAGATGGCCAGTAGCCTGGTCATTGTCAGCAGTTGCTCCTCGAAGAGGGGCCAGCAAAATGCAGGGCATGAGGCTGTAGACCTACTCCAACAATGGCAACTCGAGTGATAGGTTTCGTGGACATGGTCAAAAATGGTTGATGGAAATGAAACTGAGCTTCTTTTTGACGGATTGCAGCTACCTTTGAATATTTATGGCAGCTTCGGAGCAAGCGGATCCCGTCACCGGTACCTTGAGATGGCCGGAGAACATAGCTATGCATCGGCGTTAACAGGCAAAATCGGAGAATGGATCTAAGCATCGGGGTTGGCAATTAAAGCCGAGCCTAGCTTGGCTTGCACTAATCACCGGTGTGGTATTTTGCCCGTCCTCGAGGGGACCCCACATTTGACGCATCGGCCAAAAAGAAAAGACTCCATCTGGATCTATGTAAATCACCTAAATTGAGGTATGATGGGTGCAGCGTCTACATAGGCAAGACAAACTTCAGTTCCTCTATCCAGCTGCCGCTTGCCGGCTTACAAAGCTTCCTCTTTGCAGGCTCGCCCTAAATGCTATGTCTCCCAATAGAAAGATGACCAAAACCAAACAAAAGACTGGGAGCTTGGGTTTATGCATATGGAAAGTATCATTTGCCTCCTAGACACCTACTTAAATCTAAGCATCTTCTTTTGCGGTGCCGCAATGGCCGTAAGAGTTTGGCCCGATGGCAATGGTCCCACTGAATAGAGAGATAAGTGTCAAACCTCAAATACGGCCTCCCAAGGCCATAAACAGGAACCTTGGTTTTTGTTATGGTCTAGTGGAAAAGTACGCTGTATTTCGTTCAACAATAAGTCTAGAGCCTCCTTTGAGTCACATTGATTCCCACTTACCCATCCATAATCATCACACCGGCATTGTTCATAGAGAGGGCAACTGAAGCCAGACATATAAGCGTTAGTGCACCCACAAGTTACCGGAAGAGTGCGTGTCCCGGAGAATAGAAGGCACTTACTGTACCCTTTCCATGCCGAAGACCATATGCCACAAAGTTTCAACAAGTGGCACACTCTTTTCATTCATCCAGTTTAGCATGCGGACATAGTCGCTTTTGGGCCGCTGCCGGATGTGTGTTCGGCTGACTGCAAACTGAGCACAGCAAATCCCGCCAATTTGTTCTGGAACATAGGCATCTTCCCCAAATATCTCCTTGCAAATTCTCGGAAAGTTTGCTCGGGCATCATTCTTGTCAATGTGTGCTTGCGTGGGATTATTGGGATTGACGTGAAACGGACAGCCTGGGTTACTTGCACACCGCAGGTTCAAATATCCCTTCGCATCCACGGCTTCACGGCGCAGGCTTTGCAAAGCTCGGCTGGTCTGGGGGCCAAAGAGATCGTTATGCCACTGGTTAGTGTTGGCATGGAGAAAAATCGAGTATTCGGGGAGCTCGTCGTACAGGTCGACAATGAATGAAAGATAAGCGGAGGCCTCACGGCCACGAGATGAGTGTGCTGTAAGTAGTTCAATCTCTGGATTTTTATCCATTGTGTAAATGAACGGAGTGGTGTCAGTTCTGGCAATGAACAGTTAATTGGTGCAGTTCCCTGCAAATGGGGGCTTTTACTTGCTGGGTTTGGAGATAATCACGAAGCCATCTTAAGTCATCCGATCGTGTCTTTGCCATAACTAAGCCGACCTTTGTTAGGTTTTTGTTGTAGCTTTGGGTTCTCTTAACAAGTTCAGATAGCGCGGCAGTCTTTTCTGCTGATCCTTCCACTGACATCAGCATGGAACCTCACTGGATTTGGTGACGCAGTTTTGTACCTTGATCCGTGGTCATTTCCAATATTTGAGCCGAGCGATAAATATCCAAGTGACCGAATGTCATAAACGTGAGAACTGTGCAGGCAAATATGAGGAATGCTGATAATACGGGATACGGGATTATGTCTAATCCACGAGCTTGATCTCTTGAGCCGCGCCGGATATTGATGTCTTTCAAATCTGCTGTTATTGAACATGTTTCTGGTCATTCTGAAACTCAAACTTCCGTCAAGAAGTAAGAAGCTAACTGGGAGAAAGAAAAAATCTCTGTTTCCTGGTTGTGCGGCCTGAAAGGATATGCTATCTCGATTTGTATTCGAACGCGAACTTATTGATGAAATGGATGTGATCAGCTCTCGGGTCTCTACATGTAAATGTAGATCCCCACGGAGTACACCATATGGAGTAACCCGACTGAGAACAAGGATTCAAATATGATGGCACAAACTGATTGCGATGATGATGCAGGCGGGCTATCAGCTGAGGGAGAC